CCATGCGGTGCAGCAACCACTGAGTATCCTACAGGGGCTGGCTTGAGAACGCGCAACCCTCCGTGCAAGAGCAGAAGCTTTGAAGCACAGAAACCTCGAACAAGAGAATGTCTTGAACCAAACATGGTGTGGGCTGTGAGTGGGAGCGCGCATCTTGGAAACACATGGCGTCTAATTACTGCATAGTGCATCCTTGGCAGCAAGGCTTCCATCTGGCGGAGGTGTCAAGATGGAATACCATTCGGCAGGCGCATTGTGCTGCATGAAAGGGAAGACCCAGTCGTGCAAGAACGTCCACACAGCTGTTGGGGAAGCGCAGAAAGTCTTCGCATCCTGGTCAGACGCGGCCCTTGATGTCGACGCTGTCAAGGTCCTGCGTCAGGGTGTTCCGGAGGTAGCTGCACCTCAGACGTCTGGCGTGGCTGGTCTCAAGCGCCGAAGGAATGATTGGAATGTCCGCGGCATTCATGAGCCAGGCCTTGGCGCAGAAAGCCCAGGAGAAATATCGAGTCTCCTGCTCATGGTTCCGGCGGAGGGGCACATGACCTCCGCTGGTGAAGAGCTTGAGGAGATCTTCAATGACACCTTGATCTCGTCGGCATTCATCGAAGGTGAGCCACACACATGAGAAAAACTGATGGCCCTGCTGCTGAAACTCACGCTCGACCTGACCGGCTTGGAGCAGTAGGATGGAGTCTACCAACACAGGCGCTTGTGTCTAGAAACGTGGCCAGAACAACAATTTGACTGAGCCTCAGGGCTTTTCATGTGTGAAGCCTGCAATCGGCGCCAGTCCCCGCAATGACGTGGAGAATTTCTGGCTGACGCATCTGAGCCATGGTCAACGCAGTTTGCGCAAGGACCATACGCAGGCCATCTGTTCCTGCAAACGAAGACAACAACAAGCTGGCCAGTCGCTTGCGATCATGGTCAGGAGCCTGCCAAGCAATGTGGGCAGGAATGTAGACGTAGCACCCGCGACGTGGATCTTTGCTCAGCTGACGGATGTTGCCTTTTTTCGTGGACAAGAAGCCTGGGCAGTCAGGCTTCTGAAGCCGCAAGGTTCATGTGTTGCATGTTATTTTAGAACAACAGTGCCTGCGCTCTGAGGGCTGAGCAATCTGGAAAGGCTACGCCTGGACGTCTCTTGTCCTGCATAGGGGAATCGCTCCAGCGCAGAAAGCTCTTGATGATGCTGCGGCAGTGGTCAGCCAAGACTTTCCGCAGCTCTCGGCAGAGCTCACTCAATCCAAGCCACCAACTTTTTGATTTCTGCTCCGCCTTGAGATTGTTCACCTCTGAGAGCTGCCACTCCAACAGGGCCTCGTCGCTGGGCAGACTGTAGATAACTTGAAGCTCCCACGCCACCTTGTGGAAATCTCGGTCGATTTGATTCCTACCCACTGCCCAGAAGTAGCATTGCGCGCGGCGGAGCGCCAAGGACAAGAATTCAAAATCGACAGCGGCAATGGCGCCGCTTGTGGCTGGCTGCTCCTTGCGAGTATGTGAAGAGAACATCGCCATGTGAGCGGTACCTCTCCCCCAACAGCAACGTGAAGAGCTTGGTGTGCAGCAACTCGTTCTTGGAATCATCTGCTGGAGACTTGAGAAGAAGCGTAGCCTGCGGGGGCAGTGGGGCGACTTAGGTTTTAATGCGTAAAGCTCTCTAGGAACACGTCGGGTCTACCCAGCCTGGGCGGCCGCTCGCTTGTGCCTCCATTCCTGAGAAAGCCTCTTGCCATGCCAGGCGAAGACAGCATCAATTTTGTCCCGCAACATGTCCATCTGTTCTGCGAGCCCTGCTGGAAGATGCTCGGTGTCAACCTGAAAATTCCAAGAGCCTTCCTTGCCCGGCCCGTACATGCGGCTCATGGCAGGCGGCATCCAAGCAGCGCAGACTTCATTGAGCAGCACCAAAGATGCTTCAGAGAGAGCTGCTGGCTGACTCGCCGTTTGCGATGGCTCCAATGTCTGATCAACATCAAGGTCCGGGTGCGCAACCAGCACCACTGCGTCATCGGCTTTAGGCAAGGCCCTCTGCTGATCGTACTGCGCTAAGAAAGCTTCCAT